AACCATGAGTCTCTTGTTGTATATCTATACAGAAGTGTTAATTAAAGTCACATTGTGCAGAAACTGCTTGCAAGTAAAAAAAAAAAAGATACATTAATGGCTCAATTTTCCTTATGCAAAATGAAAATGAAAATCTGAGGTTTTCTTTTTTTAGCTCTTCTGAGCCAAAGGCTCAAAGAGCTAATGCTATGGCCATTTGTGCGGTGTGCGGTGTGCGTAAACTTTTTAGAATATGGGCCATAACTCAAGAACCCCTTGGCCAATTATTGTCAAATTTGTCACAGGGTATCCTTGGCCCAAGGGCTTCCTTTTATACTAAAACTGGGGTTGTGACCCTTTAACAAGGGGAGATAATTAGGAAAACAGAAACAAAAGTACTGGTTGCTAAAAAATCTTCTTCTCAAGAACCACTGGGCAGATTATCACCAAACTTACACAAAAGGATGAGGATATGTTGTAGATTAAAATTTGCATGGGGATTTACCCTGGGGCAAAGGGCGTGGTCTCAAGGTCACTTCAAAGTTGACCAAAAATTACATTTTATGAAAATGTTGATATTTTGCTTACTATAAGGACTAGGATCATCAAATCTTGTCAGTTGGTGCATCTAAGGACCTCATATCGTTGACTCAAAAGTAGGTCACGGTGACCTACTTTTTAAATTTTGCGGCCATTCTTATTCAAAATGATTTAGAGGCATATTTTGAACAATTTAAGGCATATGATCATCAAACTTCGTCAGTAGATGCATCTTGGGTCCTCAAAGTACGTCAACTAAAAAGTAGGTCACCTTGACCTACTTTTTGAATTTTATGGCTAATCTTTTTTAAAACAATTAAGGTCATTAATTCGAATACGGGGAGGCTTAGAATCATTAAATCTTGTAAGATGATGCATCTTGGGGCCATAAAACATATTTATTAAAAAGTAGGTCACAGTGACCTACTTTTTGAACTTTGCAGGCATTCGATTTCAAAGCATTTTAGAGGCATAATTTGGACATTTTAAGTCCTATGATCATAAAACTTTGTAAGTTGATGCATCTTGGTCCTCAGAAAAGGTCAACTGAAAAGTAGGTCACCATGACCTACTTTTCAATTTATATGACTATAATTAAATATTTCAGGTACTAATTGGCTTAGAATCATCAAACTTTGTCAGTTGATGCATCTTGGGTCTTGGGAGTAGGTCGACTAAAAAGTAGGTCACAGTGACCTACTTTTGAAAATTTATGGCATTAATTAAATATTTCGGGTACTAATTGGCTTAGAATCATCAAACTTTGTCAGTTGATGCATCTTGGGTCTTCTGACAGGTCGACTAAAAAGTAGGTCACCGTGACCTACTTTTGAAAATTTATGGCTTTAATTAAATATTTCGGGTACTAATTGGCTTAGAATCATCAAACTTTGTCAGTTGATGCGTCATGGGTCTTCGGAGTAGGTTGACTAAAAAGTAGGTCACTGTGACCTACTTTCGGAAAATTTATGGCTTTAATAAAATATTTCGGGTACTAATTGGCTTAGAATCATAAAACTTTGTCAGTTTATGCGTCATGGGTCCTCGGAGTACAGCAACTGAAAAGTAGGTCACGGTGACCTACTTTTGAAAATTTATGGCTGTAATTAAATATTTTGGGTACTTATTGGCTAGAATCATCAAACTTTGTCAGTCGATGTATCTTTGGTCCTCGGAGTACAGCAACTGAAAAGGAGGTCACGGTGACCTACTTTTGAAAAATTATGGCTTTAATTAAATATTACAGGTACTAATTGGCTTAGAATCATCAAACTTTGTCAGTTGATGCATCTTGGGTCCTTGGAGTAAAACAATTGAAAAGTAGGTCACTTTGACCTACTTATAAAATTCTATGGTTATAATTTTAAAAAATATTTTAGGTATTAATTGGCTTAGAATCATCAAATTTAGTTGATGGGTCCTCAGAGAATGACAAGTGATAAGTAGGTCACCATGACCAACTCTCAGGTACTAATTGGCTTAGAATCATCTTGGGTTCTCAGAGTGTGAATTGGAATTTCAAGGGTTTATCTAAATATACAGGATACTTCGAGGCTTCAAATAGAAGTGATAGGTTGTACAGTTTATCAGAAGAGCAATTCAAGACCCATGGGCCTCTTGTTTGATAAAAAATATAAGAAAATGATCAATTATAGTAAGTTTCTGGTAATTCATTATTGATAGAAGTTTGTTTTGAAAGACAGTTGAAGGAGAACCGTATCATTGAAAACAATGTCCAGATTGAACTGTACTTTCTTACGTAAGTCTGTTTGACATAATTGAGCAGCTGTATGATAATGTATTCAGGACATATGAATTGTCCCTCAACAGTGTCTGTATTTAGTAGCATTTATAACAGGAAATGTCTGTGAGAAAATTGTCTGGTCTCTGAAGTTTTCTCAGATTCAAATTTAAAAATATATATAGATATATCTTATATGATTGACAGATTGACTAAATATGTAAAAAAAAAAAAATGCTAAAGCTATATCTGATATGATTGATAGAGTGACTACATATATAGAATAAAGCAAAAAGTGGTCAATCTTCTTTTTAGGAACTTGTATGTTATTTGGGGAAAAGGTGACTGACATTTGTTTTTTTATGAATTAATTTATTAAATTTGAATTAATAATTATTGTTATCTATAGCCAGAAGCTTACAGAATGCAATGTATTGTATATCTATTAACATTTCTTATTTTCATCTTTTTCTTAAGAATAACTTGTCTGATTTCAAGCAGTCACAAGCATCCTCAAGGAAAGGGGACCCGGATTTGTTTAAATGTAGGATCATACCCTTTTTTCAGAAGGGGGAGGGGGGGTGTTATATATTGATAAATACTAAAAGGAGAGTGTGTTATGTTGAAATCTTCTTTGTCAATCTTGCTTGATAATATTCAAATTTATGCATAAAATATTATTTGAATTAAACAAATATTTTAATAAGAATCTTCTTTGAAACCACAGAGCCATAAAAGACAAAAATTATCAGTAGACAGTTCTTTAGTTTGCGGGTACAATAAGGGGTCAAAATTTTACCTAGGAATGGGTACTAAAATAAAATATTTGAAAAATAACAAGAATAGCTGAACCCAAAAATTTGGTGAAATTAATAAGCTAAAATACCAAAATGAATGTAGTGTAGCATCAATTTTCTTAAAATCATGGTGCCTTAATGCGAGGGTGATAAGGTCAAAATGGGGAGTATATATATGTGTGCTTCACACTCTTGAAAATATTAAAAAAATCCTGTCCCACTTGTGGAATAAATTCCATATCAAACTACAAAACATTGAATATCCTCTATATATGTGAATAAAATTCCTTAGTGGAAACTAAGAATTCAAAACATTGAATTTTCTGTTTATTACATTTTCTTTGATTTTCTCTTTGCCTCTGTCTTTTCTGAACACAGTGTTATAATAGGCTCTGACGTCATAGTTGAGGAGTTTAGATGTCATAGCTTAGCAAGATTGAAAACATTGTAACATGGATTTTAGCAACATGTTTGGGAAGAAAGTGGCAGTTAAGTTTTAGTCTCTTTCAGGACGGTTTAGTTACTATATCTCATGACTGGCCAGAAATTATTTTTTATTTTACTATATCTTTCACACTGTCAGAGAGAATATCACTTTGGTATCCTAGCTTTCACAGTGTGAGAGAGTATCACTTTTATTCAATAAATAAATCACAGTATTTCATTGTTGAAAATGTAATAAAATATTCTTTTTATCAGTGAAGGAAATGTGACTCGGGTGAGCATTCTGGCCTATGGGCCACCTTGTTATGTCATTTATGTGTAAATTTGTTCTGTTTGAAAATTCTAGGTTTTGGTGTGAACATATTTTATTGTTTTTAAATTTTATAATTGGCACTGGGCAAAAGTTCTAAAAACTTAATACTAAGCTCTTTTCCTACATGTTAATTATATCAAAACATATTTACATATTATATGGATCACAGTTTAAAATGAATAATCACAGAAAAATATTATCATCAGAGGATCAAATATCCTGTAGAATACATCCAGTATATATAACACACAAAGTGGATAGAATTTGCAGAAAGTAATTATTGCATCAACTAATTGACCTGACATTTTAATAAATGTTTGTACAATTGCAAAAAAGGTATTCATTCTCAACAAACTTAATATTTTATTGGAAATTCTTCTCTCAGTTGCTCTAAATATTAACAAACTTATTTGTTTAACACACTTAAAATTTTCACAGCTTCTGACATAGTGAAGCTTTTTGAGTAGATCCTTTTATTGGATAATTTTCAAAAAATTAATGAAAGAGACTAATTTGTTAAAAAAGATTAAATCTAATTCATCAAGATTGTGTGATTTTCACAGTTATATAAACCTGGGGTGCTTGCTGGGCTTGGGTTTCTATTCTTATCTACTGGTCATTATAGATGTTCACCTATGTTTAATGTCTTGTTTACGATTTACCTGAAGTCCTAGTCACTTGATTTAGCATGATCCATTGAAAGCAGCCACACAGAGGTAATCGTAAGATATAGATCAGCACACCTGGGAGAAATACCTAGTCTTCGGACATTTCTGAATCAGCTGATCTCTGAGCAGAGAGAACTGGAGTATATAATTGTGAATGCTTCACGGAGGAATATCTGCGTTAGATTATCAGGTGCATCATTCTGTAGTAGATGGAGCCAGCAATGAGTGAGGCTGACTGTTATATTCACCTCACAAGCAGCTGTCAGGGGAGATAACCTGGTCTCCTGCTCCTAGTTTTATTTCCATGGAGAACAATGATCAGTCAATGTCCTAGGATTGTTTTCATTCCTGATATTTCTGTTTTACATGACAATACTTTGTGATCAAAAATGAGTGAAACTTTGTCTGTGACTTTAGAAGACATTTCGGATCATTCCAAAAAGAGAGTGAAGCCCAAGAGACTTAGTTTTGTACAGAATAACTTGCTTGGCTTGATGAAGTCTGTTTTTCCACTACAGGTCTATAAAGTGGTAGTCAATTTTGGAGACTTTTCATGGTTCATCTTCAGAAGATACAATGAATTTCATAGCTTGTACGAAAAGGTGAGTGCAATTTCAATATGAAGATTTTTTTCTAAATCAAATTTTATCAATTGTTATTGAATGTTGTATATTTGCATGTTATTTACTCAAGTTTGTATTCTGATGAGATTTGACCTTCTGTAAATGTCATACATATATTGTAAACATGCATGTACTTGAAAATCAAGGTAGTGATTTTGCACAAATTTTCAAAAGTGCAATATTTAGTACCACTAATGCAAAATATCTTGCTTGAATTTTCAAGAACTGTAATTGTGCATATTTTAACATAGCTAACAGTACAATTTAGTTACCATATGTCAGGCCTCTAGCTTTCATAATATGGAATATATGTACTGTATAAATACCATGATAAAATGGTCTGTCATGCAGGCAGCTCATGAGGTAAGAGAAAATTCAGGCTTGACTGAACAAGACCCAGTAAAAGCAGCCTCTACATCATAAAATATGACAGGAATCAGAGGATAAAACATAAGCCTACATTTTGATTGGGTAGTATGATTGATGAGCTAAAGGCAGGAGGCAGCTGTATAAGATTCCTGGCTTTGTCTGACATTGTGTCTACAGAAGATAAATATATTCTTATTTATATCAGTTAGGATTTGTGCAGTGCATTAAGATTTAGTAGATTATAATAAATTACAAAAGTGTTGTAGGTGCAGATTCAGATGGGTGTACCCATGCCTCCCCTTGCACTTTACCCCCTACAACCCCCACCAAATACTGTCCTTGACCTGCTGGGGACCTTGGTGATACCAGTCCCCTTTCCATCTATTATAGCACCCCTCCAACACAAAATCCTGGATGTGTGTGTGTTATTGAATGAAGAACATGTTCCAGATTCAGACACCATTAGATATTGATATTCCAGTCTGGTACTCTGTAATTAAAAGGAATTAGTCAACAGATTTTTGTTAAGTGAATTTATACTTAATGAACTAGCTTTATTGTCATTTTTATTCAGTGCACGTGAGGAAAGTGTTGTCAATTGTCATCTCTCTAAAAAATGGCTGCTACAGGGTGTGATAAATTAGATATTAATGAAAAAAGAAATGAACAGAAAAATGTATTAACTTACACCCATACATTGAAAAAATCTTTAGTTAGCTTTAATTGAAGCCAATTTAAGCATGAATTTTGCAAGTATATATTAAAGTTCGAATTCGTTAGCAATGAATTTTGATGAAAAAGATAAATGTTAAGATAGCCATTCCATTATTTGGTACAGTACAGATCTGACAGCAGTATCTCATCTGAAGGATTCAATTCCAGACATGTCAGATAAGTCTACAGATTATACAAACTGATAACGCAGCTATGTTAAGGCTTCCCGAAGCTATAAATGTGCTCAAAACATAATATGTCATTCCGAGGTCGGTTTTGGTTTTAATTTATAAGTACTGAACTTTAGTACTTCCAATTTATATAGAAGGTTTCTTCGGCTATACATAAACATATTTGTTATGATATCACATGACTGTTGATCACGTGACGGTCATTTATAATTTTTGGAAGTGTTTCATATAAATCGCTTCGGCGCAGCTGATTAACACAATAATTATTAACATTTTGTTATATAGATAAACTCATCGTATCCTTGTGTATCAGAAATGTGCTTGGGGAAAGTTATAGTATTACTTGGGTACAAAATATTTCGTGAGAAATTCAACTTACCTACAAATTTGAGGGTATTTTCCACACAATATCGTAATCTATATTAAAACAAAATCAACACACATTTTTCCCAAGCAAGATTCAGTTAGAGAACAACTTCTTCTTACAGATTTCCAGAAAAATTCTCAGATTAATCCTCATTAATCACCTGCGCCAGACTCTTTTATACATGCAAAATAAATTCTACCTCCAACCACGGGTATAAAACATAGTACATTTCAAAAGTATATTTTTCATAAGCATTTTGAACATGCGGAATTTCAATCAAGGGTAGGTAAGCGGTGTGTGTTTAAAATAATCGGACAAATAAGACTTAAAAAACCTTTAACGACCCGTGGATTTTGCAATAGCTATCGAGCATTTTACATGTAGTTTGAAATAAAGTGTAAAGTTCATGACACTCTCCCCGTCATAACACCTCAAGTTTGCAGTGACTTGACGTCATTTTCCATTATGACGTCATATTTTGGTAGTTCAGAGCTGTGAAGGCACAGAGTGCAATGTGATATTTCTTCGGGAAGCCTTAACCTACCTGCGAAAGTCCTACAGGGCCCAGTGTGCTTATTTCAGTAATATTGACCTTGATCTTTGAACAATTGACCTCATAGTCTATAGGGGGTCTCTTTTAATTATAAAGTGAAAAAGAGGTCTTCATGTTGAAATAAACTTTTTTTTTTGTTAAAAAAAATTTTTAAAAAAATGATGTGTTCATGTAAAATAAAATATTTTGACCTTGACCTTTGAATGAAAATATCAAAATTCATAGTTGTCTTCCTTGTTCATCTTTTTATGAAAATGTTCTTTTTTGTTATGTATTCTAATGAAACCAATCTTCTTGAACTAAAATCCATGCTATTTTGTATCACAATGGTCATTTAAACAATTTAGAATTTTTAACTGCAACCATTGACCAAGTGATTCAGGTGATTGTTAAATTTAAAAGTTTTGTAATTCCACCTATTTACCGGGTAGTAATTATGAAATCTTTACTTTGTTCAAGTGACCCGGAAAGTGTAGGTTTCTATCCATGTATTAACTAAGTATGAAGTTTTTGGGATAAAAAAATTTGTAAGTTAATATGTGATGATTTTTTGATTTTGACCTTTGACCAGTGACCCCCAACCTCTAACCATCATCCACAGATGATACACCAAAAAAAAATTCCCTGTCTGGATTGAATAATATATATATTTTTATGTTTTGGTTTTAAATGATCCAATATAAAATTTCTAAAATATGAAGAAATTATAATCTTTCTTGGGTGTTCAAAATTTTACATCTTTGCCATCACCCTCATCAGTCTTTACAAATTTTATCACTTTTAATATCCAAGGACATTGTAAAAATCTGAATGAAAATTAAAATCTTTGCTGCTTAACGTACCCTTTTCATTTTACTTATTTAGACATGACGTTTGTTGTTATTTTCATGATTTCTTGGAAAAAAGGTGTCTGTGTCATCTTTCCTTAAGTAGAAAGTATGAAATCAGTAGATTGGAAGATGCTCTTGTTTGTGGTACATTAAAGTGTTGACAAAGAGACAGTCCTGATAACTAACTACATTATATAGGGCATTCACGTCTTGATGATAGGTCTTTAAAAAAGAGGATCATATTTTTTCCTCCCTAGAAGCTGAATAGATTAGTAAAAGTTTCAGGACTCTTGGACAAATTCACAATCAAATTGTTGGCATAGCAGAATTACCAAAGTCTTAAGTTGGCACTTTACATGTAGATGGTGTAGTTTAGATTTGGTGAAGAGTGAACTATTCTTGCTGGGGTGTTAAATACACATTGAACAATAAAAAAAGGAACATATCCCAGATTGGCCTTGCTCTTTAACTCTGGAGTAACATTATATCACCTTGAAATGGTTGAAATAGTCAGATTTTATGTTTCATATACTAAATAACACCTACATATTAGAACAACTGTGTAATATAAATGTTACCAGTATGTCTAAAATCAGCATTGTCACTGATGAGTAATATAAAACAAACTGTTCTACTTCATAAAGCTTTGTTGTGGTGTACTGCGTAGTTATTTTTGCAATATTTTTTTTATGGCCCTACATTGTCAGTGTAAATTCTGTACTTAAATAACTGTTCAGCATTCTTTGAGGATCAGTTTTTAGCATTATTGTAAAAAGAAAAGTGAGATCCTTTTGACATAAAATTGGGGTCATGTGAGTTCATCTGATCATTCATCTCTTGTCTTTATACATGTATAAGAAGCTAGTTGTCTTCTTTGTTATAGTACCTATTAGTAGAAGTGTCTTACATTACCATAAGAGTGCTCTATTTTACAATGATAAGGTATGAACTAGAAAAATCCAATCTTATCAATCTATACTTATAAATTAATAAATTTTGCAAATAAACTCCGAAACGGGTGCACCAGAGTTCTTACTAACACCTCAGTGAATACACTAGATACAAGATGATGTCCGTAAACTATATTTAGATTTCACTCGCATATTCAGTATCGTTCATAAAATTAAAAGTCTACTTTTATTTTCTATAAACAGCCATGAAATAGCAAAAACGTGAGTACGGTGGCGTTTCCAGTTGGCGGATCTAAGATTCTGGCAATTTTTAATGAAACTGAAAACGAGCAATCATTTATTTATTTAATTAAACGTCATCACTGAATTATTCAATCAAAACTTGATTTAAATGATATAAAAGAAATAAGTTGTGATAACCGATTAAAGAGGGAAATATGCAAATTATTTTCGTCATTCACCGATCTTAATATTGACAGAAACTTCTAGAACATCATATAGCATCGAGCCCGATGTTAAAAAGGAAAAACTAGGCGATCATTAAAAAAAAAACAACTTTTGTATGAATGGTCATTGAAATAATGGTAAATCATTAATAACACTATAAGTTTTGAATATATTTATATATTGAAAGATTATTTCATGTATGTAGTAGGTTTTTCTAATAAATTTATCGGTAAAATTATAATTATATACATGTATTCCTTACTGAGAGCATCGTGGCAACGAACCAGAAGTACAATTTGTACTTCGTAATAAACTAGCTAACATGAAAAGAGAAAATTAATGAATAAGGTATTGTTCAAATACAATTAAAGCTGTGTAAAATGTTGTGCTTTAATCAATACATTTCAGGGTTTTTTTCTGAATACAGTCTTTTGTATCATATACTCGGCCTATTCATAGGGCGTTAAAAACTAATTTTTACAAAGACCCCGTACTTGGGTCTTGGTTTATAAATATGTATGTACCCTATTGATATGTAAAAAAAAAAGTATACTACATATTTTACGTATAAATAAGGTACATACATATTTATAAACC